TGGAGTCCTTGGGGGTTCTCTGAGCTTGGTTGTTTTCTTGCAAACATTTCATTACCTGGCTAGGTGACATCTTCAATGCAGCACTGAAGATGTTACCTAGCCGGGTAATAAAACGTTTGCAAGAAAACAACCAAGCTCAGAGAACCCCCAAGGACTCCATAGTTCAACCCTGAGCTACACATATTCGCTTCTATTGGTACCATCCTCTTCTTTTAACAAGTAAATAATGAGCACTGAAAGAAGAAAAATCTGAGAGGAAAGGGATGAAGCTATTATTGTTTATAAGCCAAGAACAAACCACTCTGATTCTCTAGGGAAGTCAGTTAATCTAGATTTGCTTCTCATCCTTTTGTAAAGATCAAGGGTAGTATCTAGGCAGCGATAACATTGTGGAAATGACTGAGAAGTGCTTTAGTGAGCATCAGTGAGAAATGAAGGGGCCAGCTAGGATTCATGATAGAAGAAAGAAGAAGCAGATTCTTTACCTGTAGGATGGTGAAATTCTCCAGGACACTATTCATCATGTATTTTTCTGGAAGATGTTTCAGTTTATGGATGAAGTTGATCATATACTCGCACATAGGGGACCGATGGATTCGATACACACATCTTCCATTCTCCACCCGGGCAAATTCAGTCTGCAGAAACACACAGAGAGATCAGGTTTTACTCATGTAAAGGTGTCAATGCTGAATCTGCAGGATATCTATCCACACTCAGAATGGCAGAGATAATCAAACAGAGAAGAGGGAGGTGAAGCACTCCAAGAAGTAAAGTATAATGAAATGGAGGACTAGACTAGTACTCAAATAACCTGCTTCCAGTAAGTGCATATATAGTTACAAAGCAACTTAATCCTTATGTTGCAAATTCTTCTGAAGAATCCCTGTTTCCAATCCTACATTAAATATCATGATGTTCACCTTTTCTGTAGCATCTTCCCTTTGCTCATTCCCCATACAGAAAGCATAGGACTCACCTCCACCTTTTCAACAACCTGCTTTCCAAAGGAGCACACTTTAGTGGAGACTGTGATGGTCATGTTTTCTGCACTGCTATATTGACTGCTTACACCATAAAAAGCACCAGGACCATCCTGAATGGTGCTGTTCAGATCCGCCTAGAACAGAGCAGGAAGTTCATGCAAGTCAAATATAAGTTAGAAGGATTTATTAGCTCACAGTGTCACCAGTAAAATAAATCTAGGATTCACTGGATTAGGAGCAAACATGCCTATATGAGGTGCAACTGGGTGATATTACTAAATATTGAAGTATTTAAAACATTTAAATAAAATTGGATCTTATTAGTTTTGGATGGGAGAACACCAGGAAATCCTAGGGCTGTAGTTGCAAAAACTTCCGGGAAGACAACAATGGCAAATCATTTTTGTATTGTTGAAAATAATACAAAAATAACATGGTCATACATCATTATAGTCAACAAGAGTTGAGGCTGACTCAAGAAATGCCATATTTTAAAACATTTAATAGAGTAAATATTTAGTAATCTTTTGATTATTACTTAGCATCACCACAGTTTGAGAAAACTGTCTGTTCAGAGCATTTTACAGATGGGAAATGAGGTTCAAAATATGCTGTTAGGCCCATGGGTGAAGTACAGTTTGAAGCTGTCCAGCCTGAAAGCAGGTTATTAGATTTGCTCTTATTCTAAACTACAGTTATCTCCCACCTTCAGGATAAAGAAAACAAACCGTTTTGATACTCTTTAACACATGGATAGGTCCTGATGGCCACACTAGTTGCCAGATCTTGGACTACACATGAGCATACGCTCACTTCCAGACACACACATCTAATACACACCTCATCCCTCTCTACACTTGTCATCCTTCTCTCAGTGGCCTATAGCGGGGTTGATGGGAAGAAGCAATGAAATTTATTCCAGTCCTCCACTGACCTGCTGCTGAACATTGTTTTACTCCACCCAGTGATAAAATAGCAATCTGGATCTCGCAAGCCAATTGTTTTTGAGATTGGCTATCTGGAGTGGAGAGAATATTCAACAGCAGGAAACCAGTGATCTGATTCATGCTAGTTAATAGAGCATGTTGATCGGTTGGCCAATGGAAAAAGTGGGTGGGGTTCTTGTCCAAGTATCTTTCATTCAGATATGTGTGTCAAATCTGCTTAGCATACAAAAGGAGTAAAATCATAGCCAATGTAAGATTACTTGATACTGCATTGGTAAGTTATGGTAAGTTAGGTAGTAACTCCTACCTAACTGCATATCACACCCCAATTACATCAACCGCCTTCAATGCTGGATAGAGATTATGGGAATTGGTCCAACCTTCTGGAAGACCCAGGCTGGGAAAAACTGATTATAGGAATAGGCTAAAAAGAATAGTAAGATCCTCTGCCATAATAACTAGTAAATAAGTACTTAACAATCAGAGACACTGCTTAACTTCAACCTGCATGCAGTTCTTACCCAAAACTTGACAAGGAAAAAGGAGTTCTGGGGTCCTCTCTCATAGAGCTCTTTCAGGCCACCTTTTTTCTCAGGAAACTTGTCATAAATCTGGCGTATGTCCACTGCCTCCAGCAGTGGATCACTGTATGAGGGGTTCGTCTGTCCGATATGCACAAAGAGGTGCTTGCTATACTGTAATGGGAAAGGGAACAGATGGCATATTTCTTCACTGTACAGATTAAAACATTACAAAAGAAATTGGATACTCTTGCTGAATTTGCCCTGGATGATTCAAGACTTTTTGCCAGTTACTACCATCTGGGCAAAAGTAGCCCAAAAGGAGCCACAGTAACATTTATATTTCACAAGCCAGTAAACAGAGTTTGGAGCTCAAGTTTTAGGCATCATTTTTTAAAAAGACTGGATAAATGGAAGCTCAGACCTCACATAAGCATGAAGATATGAGAGAAATCTGCAGATACCACTACAGTGAAACCTGAGTTATCTGGACCTTGATGCAATGGAGCAAATTCACTTGTATGTTATGTCATTTGTGCAATGAAGTCACCACAGAAATTGGGGATGGGAATAACAGGTACCCCTCAATTAGTCTGTCAAAATGAGGCTTCACTGTATTCTGTAGGATAAAGCTACCTCCATCACCCTTCCCTCCAGTTTGTATGAATGATCATGCCAAATGTTCTCTCTTAAGAGTTACCGTTTCAGGGTCACGCTGTACTTCCATGAATGCTGAATACTCAAGGAGCCGCAACTTGGCAGAGGCAATAGTTCGGTCCTGCCAGACTGGCACAGCTGAGGCAGAAGGTGGAAGAGGAGCCAAGGGCTCGTAGCCTAGAAGAATGGTCAGTTAAAACATTCTTGAGCATTTAAGAAATAAATTTTAGTTGCAGGAACAAAGTATAGAAAAATAATCTTTAACTACTGGGAAGAACAGGCAACTGGGCCAGGGGGAATCTACTTTGGTTCCCATTTGTCAAACAGTCAATCCTTCCAGGTAATTTAAGACTATTTCCTTCATTGTCATTTTGATTACAATAACATTAAATTCCTTCATTGTTATTTTGATTACAATAACATTAAATTCTCTCAAATTAGAGGATTTTTTTCCCCATTTCTGGACCGTATGGATTTAGGAAATAGCAATATGAAATATACTATCTCTTAAATGAGGAAAAGGCTGTCAATGGATCCCTCCCTTCTGGACAATTATTGTTCAGTTTCCAATCTTCCCTTTTTGGGGAAGGTTATGGAGAAGGTTCCCTCTAATAAATGCTGCTATCTTGTGGGACCAAGGAAGCATGCTTTCTCTGTTGCTGCCCCTGCCCTCTGGAACCCCCCCCCCCAAAATATGAATGGCACCCACTCTCCTGGGGTTCCAAAAAGCCCTTAAAACCTGGCTTTATCCCAGGTCTGGAGTTAATGTGTTTATTGATGTATTTGTGGGGGCCCTGTCAAATCCTTCCAGTTTATCATTTTGGTTGTTTTACTCTAGGCTGTTTGTTTATGTGTCTGTAATTGTTGTTAATTGTTTTTATTGTTTCTGGATGTTGTAAGCCACCAGAGTCCAAGTTAGTGAGCAGCAAATAACAAATTTAATTTAGCGGAGTCCTTGGGGTTCTCTGAGCTTGGTTCTTTTCTTG